TTCCGTCAAGGACCCCAAAACCGCATTTACATATGTAAATCCGGGATTTACATGGCGACGGGATTTACATACGACAAGTATATAATATAGTAGACATTATTTAAAATATATAATACTGAATAAAAAATGCGTAACTACGTTCGGGTCAGTTTAAACGTCATTGTAAATTTCAGTAGTTTTGCGTTTCCTAACATTGTTTTTATACCTCTCCCAAAGTAATCCACGCAGTCGCAAAATTATCTTACTCAACTCTTCATCATAATTGCAATAGCTGCTTTGTGACTAAATGCAATAATTCTGTAGATAAAGTTACCCCAAGCTTTCTTGAAATCTTCCGATTGAACAAAACGTCTGGCACTTTTGTAAGAACCAAAACCTTGATTTATTCCACTGCTTATCGATAGTATCAATTTGTCGGAGATCTATCACCATTCTTTTAATGATATTGTCCCTAACGATGCAAGTTTAACAATGCAAATAAACTTGCCGGACGCAAGTGTACGACTATTACTATGTACGTCAAGATTGCAAAATACCATTTGATTTGCATATTCCAAACTTTTGGCTAAGTCTGAGCAAAGATTAGCTAATTTATTATAACGAACGGTAAAAAGCAATTGCTGACATTATTCTCGTAAGAAATGGAAATTTTTCATACCATGCATTACATTGTTGTATTTTATGACTTGTTGTGCCTCAGTTGGGACTGTTTTGGTCTAGAACTAGCAACACATTTGAAGTAATTTAATGAAATATTTTAAGACAAAATAGGTAAAAATTTACATAGACCTTTTAACTAAACAAAATTATATTTGGAAAAATTAACTTGGTATATTAAATTTTTATGCTTGCTTGAATCAAAATTTATATGTTTCTTAATACTATATAATAGCTGCTAAATTAAGTTTACAAAACTTTGAATAACAAGAACACACGCTAATGCGATGCTTAAAATGCCGCTATTGCTCCAATCAATTTTCTGAATACCAGAAGAAATTTTTATTGTAGCGGTATAAGTATGGGTTAAACTACTCGATTCATTGGTATTAGAAGTAGTAGTAGGGCTGACTCCCCCATTGATTGTAATAATGGTAGGAGTACTGTTAACAGTAACAGTAACAGCGCTCGTTGGATCAGTGAAGGTATAAGAAATTCTGAGAAAAACTGCACCGTTATTGGGATTGCTTACAACAAGACACCAAGCAGCCTGTTCTGTTGATATTGCAGGAGCGGTTTTTGTACATGTATTTACACATGTGGTAATGCTATTGCGGTTGAGAAAAAAGTAATACATAATTAGTTCAAACAACCAGGCTCTTCTACATCCAATTCTACTCGGCTCAATACACAAATGCTTTTCAGTCATTATGTATTAATTACTAACCATGATTGTGCATCCCAAGCAAAAAATGGTTGTAAATTAAAGATGCTTGCAAAATTAGTGGGATCCACAACAACCGAAACAAAATTTTGCGTACAAGGTGGAACGTCAGGACTAGAAAAGCCAGGTTTCGTGTTGCCAAAGTTTGGCGTTGATGTGACTGTTTGGTTGTACGTAATTATAGAATAGCCTAGTAAATAAAATTGGTGAGCATCTATTACGTAAATGCAAAAGTCACTATGAGGTACTTACTCGCTATATTTGTCGGATTTGGAGAGCACGCATACCTTTGAGATGAGATAAATAAAGACTGAGCGAAATATTCCCACACCAAAATAATAACATTTTATAATATAAGAGTGGGGGAAAGGAGAATAAACACATGACGATAAAAGATGAAATATAGTTTTATTCTCACCATGAAGTCTGTGGTGCCAAAGCGACATCACCTGTCTGGAATTGAGCTTTTATTAAACTTGTCTAATTAAAATGAAATTTATTAGGAAAATATTGATATTAATGATATCATGTGCTTTCATTGGTAAATTACTTGCCATTAAAACTAAAGACACTAGCGTGGTTTGAAACAAATGCCTCATGATGTTTTAAACTTGAGGTTAGTTGTGAGAATCTACCCGCATTATATCATTATCAATGTTACACAGCATTTGGAATGACTCGCAGTAAGTAACAACATGTTACGAATACAATTAATCTTCAAACACTAAAATTATTACCAAACAATTAAAAAATAAAATAAATTTGTTTTTGATATTGGAAAAACGGTTGACATTAGCTGTTCTCACAATTCGGTTGTTTATTTTTATTTGTGAGTTATATGCATGAAACAAGCGGTAACACAATATTTAATCCGTTTTAAATTAGCTAGTTCCATTGTGGTAGTAATTGTTAGGGTAGCGGTTAACTATTTTTAAGAAATAACTAATAAATTTTACCTTGTTTGATACATACCAATGGCAGTAGACCTATTGCGTTTTTTTAATAACAGTCGCTCGTTTACGTTGTTAACTATGTAATTAATTTAATCTTTTGTCGCTTATGTGTGTAATAATATATGTACTGGTTGTTCTCCTAATTAGCTATGACGATCTTCGACTGTCAAGCTTTCTACAATAGACACGTATCGTGGTATGCACGAGAATGCTAGTATCCATTGTCTTAACAAATCGAGTAAGTGAGAAGCACATTGTTAATGAGACAAAATGCGCAATCTTATGAAACAATCAGGAGTTGTTTGGTCTTGACTGCGGTCAATAATTTGAAGGTTTATAAGGCATATGTCTACGTTATGTATGAGTTTCACGGAACTCAGATTACGTTTGATAGACGTGGTATAATTTATGCCAACGTTCTTATAAGTTGGAATATTTATTTACTTTATGGTTTTGAATGTTATTCTCAAACGATACCCGTAATGTATTAGTAGGATATTTTCTCTTGAGAATTTGGTACTCAATGCTTGCTAAATATGAAAATAGACAAAGTCGTTTAAATAATGGTGGAGACGTTCTGCGTCCTTTATTAAGTAAAATTTAATCTATATGCTTAGTCTCAGTAGTAAGGTGCGTATATAATTTCATCGGCCAGTTTTTTTTCGATACGGCAATGACTTGTGTGTTGTTAATGATTAAGGAACTTTTCAATTTCGCATTAATAGTATGTTGTTGATAATTCGTCTCTAGCACAACAGTTTGTGGTACATATGGCGCAGATATTGTGCTGCTTATTAATAGTGTAGACATTTGACAATGAATTACCTGGAACCTTGATATTCTGTAACATTCGTTCAACCATGCAGGGGAACGACACACATCGTAATACTTGTAAGCTGTAATTGATTGCATTTCTAAATGCGTTGAAATAAACAACAATTTAATTAACGTACTAAATTGTAGTATGCATGAATTACTGGCTGGTCCGGTTCATTTCTCCGACAAAAGTACCAAAAAAGATAATTCGAAATAATGTTGGGGGGAAAGTTGTCGGTGAAATGAATATCTCCCGTAAATATTACACCCCCTCTCACAGTCACATCCGCTATCACAGTTGTTGGGCAAAAAAGGCTAAACCGGCTCTTCAAGTTGCATCATGTGAGTTAAATTTTGTGCTCCATATTACAAATCGTGTGCGATTAGATCATGGTCATTCACAACTAAGCACAAAAGTTCCTAATACAAGATACTTATCTCATTGCTCATTTCTTCAAACTGTTGTCAGCAGGACTTATGCATGTTAATTCAGATATTCGATTAAGACTTCTGAGTTTTAAGGTAATACAACCACGTGACATATGACGTGTTGTCATACCTCCATACAGTTAGCTTATTATGGTGTCTTATATAGGGGTTAACCAATAAGCCTTTTAAAGGAAAATCAATAATGACGCTAAGGCCGTGGAACCCTACCTTTTCAAATTAGGTAGTAATCTGTAACAGTAATCGATAAAATATAAAAATCTTATCATCTATAGAACAAAAAGTTTACTTTGATACGCACAGCGCACATTGCTATAAGAATGATATTAACATGCAAAATTTAGTTTACGATTTATTTATCTTTCTCTATTTCGTAAGTAGAATAATGACTCAAACAGTTGCAATGGAAATGTAATTTCTGTCTAGTCTAGTTACTACCGTTATTGTGTTTAGATAAACTTGGTAGGTGCGCTAATGAGAGGCAACGTGACGCTTAGTAGCGAACAGTCATGGTAAGAATGAGTATAGTAGTCAAAGACAATTGTTATTACTATTATTCTAATTCTCGATATACGTCTCGAATACTTAAATAATGTGTCCAATTTAAAAATCAAGGTACACATGCTTTCCAATATCCGTCAGTACATTCAGTGAGTATAATTACATTTGGAAATTCAATTTTGAATGTATTTATTTCTCGATCTCAAACACTATTTTCTCTTAAATTTTAGGCTATTTCGTCTTGACGTCCGCAAACCCGCTTGACGAAACACAGAATTTCGGTAACAAATTGAATGGCTATTGGTTTCCTCCTAGTTCAATTTGTCCCCAAGGGATTATAACCATATTTTTGTCTCACGATGAGCTTTTAAAGGCACTAAATAAAACAACATACTACACTAAAAGTGATTTATCATGGTTAGTCCTATTGTGACATCCAATTTTACATTCCTTAAGAAGCATAACATTTGCTCAATCAATATAGCCGTGCTCTCCTACTGATTATTTTTTTCACCCTTTTCCAAATGTAAAGTCAGGATACGTGTCAAACAGACTGTACCAAAACTACGAATACAATTGACACTTCAATTCTCTGGTGTCTTATAGTAAGCAATCCAAAAGTTTTTCAAGACTTTGTTGACATTTTTATTGACAATGACTCTGTAAGTACTGGTACTACAACTATCACATCCTCAGTACTGGTAACAGCAACAACAATAATATCACCAACACTAGTAGTGAACGCTTCCCCTAATAGTTCTGTGACAACAACGAGATTAAACTCAGCTTTTAGGAACAATAATAAATATGAATGGAATTGGGGAGTGGCTCTTTGCCTTGGATTAGGATGGATAATTTTTGAGTTTTTATAATTTTTTTTACAGACAATCTTAATGGAACATTGATTTTAATGATAAATTGGATATTGAAATATACTTTATGTAGCAATCAAGATATTATGGTAATATCTGTCTGAACAATAAAGACTAGTTTTACTTACCAATAAACAAAATTATAAGAGTGTTTATAAAGCCAATAGTATGTAATCCTTGACACTAATGTCTTTTGCTTCAAACATTTGGTAAGTGCTGCAATTTAATATGCTTAATGTAAGACAATAACTACAAATATTAATATACATACATAATGTAAATCAAAATTTGCCTGTAAAAGAGAAAATAATCAGCCATATGTAAGTGGCGGTCATATTAAGTTATTTTTTTGTATATTATGTATTATAACTCAAAATATATGCACAAACAGTTGCGTCTATTTCTTTGATGTTATTCCTTGACAAACGTGCATACTTTTTGTCAAGTAGTTAAAAGCAAACCATTTTGACTATTAAAACAAAATTAAAGCAGTATTGTGAGCATAATAGTTACAGAGAAATTTGTTAAAAGAAATTTTGATTTATACATATCACGTTTATAACGTTTTATTAAATTACAATTACGTATGTAGTCGCTACATAACATAACGACTTTTTACATCAATATTCTGAAATATACTTAACAGTAAAAACACTAGCGGAAGTTTATGTGTCAGTTAATTAAGTTGACACTACCACAAATATTAGTTGTGTAAGTAAAACGTGCGTGCGTCATATATTTATCGGGAGAAACGAATACTAAAAGTCGTCGTCAGTTAAGACGCTTATGCCATTATGCAATAATTTACGGAATATAGAAGATTTGGTTAAATTCTTATTGTCACACTCGGGAGGTAAAACCGGTTTCCAAACTACAGAGTGGTTATAAATGAGAAATCTATTCTTTGTTACATGTTCGCAATGGTGTCACCTTAACGTTGGCGTGACACTCACCCTTTAGTGATACTTTGAGTAAGAACAAAGACCTTTGTTCTTTGGCTAAGTAAGACCGATTCGTCTAGCAGTTGGAAAGATTTGCTGAAGTAATTCAAGTATAACTGCATAATTAAGTATCAATTATGTATGGTTTTTACATCAACGAGTTATCATTAACCAGCTATTCGGCGAGCATGGAAAAGAAATCTATTCTTAGATTAATGACGTAACAGAGTGTATTTGGGGTATTACATACTCTTCGTTGTATGCAGGAGATTATAACAATAATACCTCAAGCGTTTGTAATCATTGTGTATCTGCAATTAGACATCGATCAAACTAACTTTGCTGCATGTGCAACAGCAAGTTGACGTTTGTTGTAACGCTTTGATGTACAACACATGAAGGCTTGGCGTGTCAATGATAGAAAAAATGCTGCGCAATTCTTATAGTTAGACTACAGTGGCTCATCTTTTGTGTAGCATTTCTATCGAACATTAAAATAAAGTTTGGCCTGGCTTTTAGCTTTTTATCTCGTCTAGAACTTACAGTTTAGCAGTATTAAGTTGGATGTTCAAGTATTTCAAAATCTTAACAAATGTTAATTCCAGAGGGTCATTGGCTCGAGATCCGCACATGTGACACCCGCTAAAGTTCAGGAGATCTGATGTTGTAAGAGCATTGGCTGAACTTATATTTGTTTTTGTTGCACAAACGATAAATTGTCGCTCCATATAAAACACTACATATAAATAAGTTGAGAGCTTTGAACAAACGAATTGTTGTTGGTCTGTTAAGTCCAATATGCAAAATCTAGTTAAAAATATCTTGTTCCTATTGCTTTTCTCGGTAAGTAAATCAAAGACAGAAGAGTCATGATTTTCCGGCCGCCTTATAACAATAATATATGCATTTAGATAATAACGGTAAACGCACAATCATTGTCGGGCAACATTCACATAAAAAAAAGGGCTTCATGGTAAGTTTTAAGACATGACATAAACCGAAATCCGTTGTATTTCTTCTTACATGGCTGGTGTTGACATACATTCAGTCCCCAAAGATAGTATCACACATTTAACGTAATGGTTATCATAACAACTAAAAAAGGTGGATTTGTGCTTCAAAACCAACGAGCTACTTTAGTAAGTATATAGTCCGCTGAAGAATTGTGTTGGTATTAAGTTGTGTAGAAATTCATTACTCAGCAGATTTCTCTTGCACAATTATATAGCTTTTCTCGTTACGACATCAGACCAACCACTTCCTCTGACTACAAAATTTGGTGCTAATTCAATCTTCTACGCCCTACCTGATCATCCGCCTTGCACAAGCGGGGTGATTTCGGAAGTTTTATCTTCGGCGGATCTTCGTACTTTCCTTGACCCGCATGTAAACAATTATACAACAACTCTGAGATATATGTCATGGTTGGTAGAAAAAAGCGAAAATGTTATTTTGGCAGTTCAAAAGTTTTGTTTCATGGCGGATGTTGTAAATTAATATGACTCTTGAGTAATTTTTTTCCGCACACAACTTTTGCTTTCTTAACGTTTGTATTCATATATTGACTAATTATTTTTGGAATAATAAGCGTTGACTGTGTCCAGGTCTGCAATCAAACTGCACCAACCACAACGCCCCCGTTGGACACCTGGTGTCTTGTTGTGAGCAATCCAAGTGGAGTAAACTCTGTCTATGTTAGTGTCAATATTAATCTCTCGGCTTCTGTTACGTCCACATCGACGTCGACGGCTCCAACAGACACAAGCTCGAGTAGTACTTCCAACAGTGGATCTACGGTTTCCACTGTTCCCTCTGCTGCAAATAAAATGAGTGAGCAAAGCAACGTAATTTTTTTCTTTGGACTCGCATGGTTGTTTGGAAGTTTAATGTCATGTAGATAATACGGAGAATTTTATAATTAATTACTTTGTTTAAATACGAATATTTATGTAAAAAACACAACGAATTTGGTTTATAATAAGCGTCACGTAATTATAGAATGGTGAGGGGAGTTAATAATATTATTGTACCATTCTATTGAATGTGGTTCTAATAAACGTATGCGTGTCGCCAATTGTCAGGATAAGACACCACTACAATTGGATAAATCAACGACTAATACCAGATCAACGGTATATTATATTTTATTAAATATAGCTAGAGTATATACGTTGAATTAATAGATAAATTAAGGCTTGATATTTTAATACCAGAGTTTTTCCATGTTGCGCTATGACAAAAACTCGGATAATAATTGGCATTGTGCTTTTTTTCAATATGTGAAAACCCTTGACTATGTTATGCGCATGCGGTATTTTTGACTTAATGTAAATTGAAATCTACTGGCAAATATTCGCTGCTTCAAGATAAGAAAATGTCTCAATAATACAGAGCGACATACTTAATACATGCATTATCCGAGTTGCCGTCATAATGAACATGTGAAAATTTTGGTAAGTTGCATTCATATAGGAGAGCGTATTTATAAACGTATCCTAATAATAAGCAGTCAAATATTAAGGTCCAACTCATCTAAGTTGTAGTTAGTGAAACATGATATACCGCATTAATCTTCGATATCTTATTGGTGAGTTTAAACTTTCAATTTTAATATATTTACTGGGCTGTGTGCGACAAATTTGTACACTCTGGGATGTAAGATAAGAGATACACACCTCCCCCGATATAAGTAGAAGATTTATGTATTTGTTCTAGGGAGATGGAACTCTATTTTTCTTCACACTCCTAACGACTACATGCGTAAATTTGGCGGCTTTGCTGCGTAAAAGGATTTAATAATTAAAATTTTTTATAATACGTCCGTAAAGTAAGATTGGCGATACAATAACAAGTACAGAAACTTAGAACGCACGATGTTAGACAGCGTTACGAAATATGACGACATATTAATATGCGGGGCAATTTTTGGTCTATCTGCAATATCAATACTTATAACAACAACATTTAGGTTAGGGATAGAATTGCATCGAAGTTGTTACTAGTTCGTTTTGGTATAAGTAAGTTAAGATCAAAGCCCTTAGATAATCAAAATTACTGCATGCCAAGGGAAGATCTCATCTCGACGTTACATTGTTCGTCTAAAATTAGAAAATCTAATTCGCTGCATGTGCTTCAGGCTGAAACACGATAAATATTTAAATATGTTGAACAGAATTCTCACCTTACATAAGTATAACAAGCTGAATTTTGGCTTTTAATGACTCTTAGCAATTCATAATATTGGTATTTGTTAATACACTTGTAACATTTTCTCTTGTTTAATCTACTATTGTTCTAATTGGAAAACGGGCATATTGCGAACGAACCGATAATTACAGCCCCGTAAGTGTGGAACGAACATTAGTTGTACGGTTTACGTTACGCTTTTGACCGGGTTATAAACCTGGAGATGTACAAAATATTGGTTACTTTGTACGATAGTACGATAGCTTGAGGTTACCGTACCATACACAATAGTCTAATACTCTTTTTTCACCGTCGTATAAAAGATGTCTGTTGAACCCCGCTGTTGTCTTTGTTTATATGAAGCTGATACTAAACCAGCAATGAAATTAACATTCCCCCCCCCCCCCCCACACCCATATAAGATAGGAAAATCTTCATTTGGGAAACGCCAGTCGGTCTCATTACTGATTGAACTAATCTATCTCACATACTCAGACAGCAACATGCAAAATTTGGTTACACGTATTTCGTTTATATTGCTTTTCTTGGTAAGTAGATTAAACTGAAAAATTTGTTTCCTCAGCTCAACTAATCAATATATTATCTTTAGACAATTACAGTAAATTCTCAAACAATATCGGGAACTGTCTCCTTAAGCTCTGATAGTTCATGGTAAGATAAAACTGGAATATAAAGCGTAAATATTCTTGAAGGATGATGTGTGTCTTTACACGACATTTATAATATATTTTACATAAGGTATATATGTGCTTCACAACCAACTACTTATTTTGGTAAGTACACAATCCAAAGTAAATATGTATACGTTTTTCTAAAACTGCTTTTTATACTCAGTAAACCTTTTTTTACAAAACTGTACAGCCTTTCTCGTCAACACAACCTACCAAGCACTTCCCGTCACATCAAACTTTGGTAATTATTCAAGCTTTTGGGACACACCTAACACACCTTGCATAAGCGGAGTACTTGCCGAAGTTTTCTCTTTGGCAGATCTTAATGGGTTTCTTAACCCAAACATACCCACGTATACAATTACTTTACCATCTTTGTCATGGTAAGTACGAATATTCGCAAATTTTGTATGTGGGTACTTTGTAGATTAGTTCGAGCATTGGTATTGCTTTTTTAACGTCTAACATAAATACTTTGACTAACCAATCTTATCATTCAACTACACCCATTTTTCTAAATGGTAAGTACTGACTGCGTAAACGTCTGCGATGAAACTAAGCTTACTACGGGAATTCCATTAAAGACTTGGTGTCTCCTTGTGAGCAACCCAGATCCAGTATATTCCATCTACTTTAATGTTTCTATTCAGCTTTCAGCTCCAACTACTGTCACATCAACGCTGATATCAACAACGACATTGTCGTCAACGTCATTGTCAACGTCGTCATCTACAGCGTCTCCTTCAATAGGGAATGGTGCTGCTACAACGGTTGTGGTCACTACCAACTCTTCTACACGCAGGTGTGAGTGGAGTAGCATATTTTTCTACTTTGGACTCGCATGGTTTATTGGAAGTTTAATGTCATGTAGATAATAAAGACTAGCGAGTGATTGAACATTTGTGTATAATATAAGTAAATAATTAAATAAAAACTTTTAATGTAAGGCTGTAAATTGGCTGGGTTAAGCTCTATTTAATAAATCTGCATTTCATCCACGTTTCTTTGTTTATATCTTTGAATGGCTTGCTAAGAGCACCAACTAAAATAATGAATACTGTTGAAGCGCTTATGTATTTATGCGCGTAGTGGTGTGGGGGTAATTGTTTGTAACGGTGACAAAAAGGCCCCGCTCGTCAGCAATATATAGCCGAGATTCTCAACAATTTCTCAGCCATTATACAATGCAAGCATAAATTAGTAGGCTTTACAGCTGAAACAAAATTAATCTGTATGTCGAAGCATCAGGATCGGGGAGACCAGCGCGCAGAGCTCTTGTTATTAAATTCGGTGTTGATATGACTGTTTGATTGCAATTGCGTTATAGAATAGCCTAAAAAATTAAACATGTGGTGTGCAAAGCAAACATTGCTATGACTAGAATTTGAAATAATTACTATATTTATCAATTTTGGAGAATACGCATACTTTGATATAAACAAACGTCGATTAGGGAAACATGTTCTTTTTACAAAATAAACAATAGTCTCAACGGACTAATATTTTGTTGAAGAAATAACGAATATCAAGAGCGTACTGCACTCATCGGTGCTGTTTCTGGGTATTAATTTGAAAGGCATTTATTATTTTGTTTTATTAAGATAAGCGTTTATCCAATTTTAATAATCTATTATTTACAACAAAAAACTCTGTAACAATAACGTATGCATGTAAATTTAATGTTAAAAAAATTTTTCTGTATGTCAAATATATCACAAAGTATGCAATTTGCAATTTAATATAACAACTAACAGTCAATAATTAAACATTACGTATTATTATACACGAATCCGAAAAACTATATGTGATAGACGCGTATATAGTGACATTAGCAGAGTAATAAGGTTAGACTAACCGTACGGACTTGTTGCAATAATAATGTTTAATCCCATTGTAACAATTAATAATGTAATTTATGCTTCTACAACTATTTTGATAATTGTTATCTGTATGTCACTGAAATTTTCCAAATTTAATAATTTATTAATTGACCAAACAATACATTTGTCTTTGAATACAGAAATAAAAATATGCGATTACTGAGCTTTGAATAAAGACATGCATTATGAGGAGTACAAATATATAGAACCAACAGCGGCGGAATTGCCACATTAGAAATGTTCTTGGTAAGGAGGGTAGTGCGTGCAGTGGCCAGAGCCAGCATAGTCGTAATTATTGCTATTTCTTCAGTACAGTTTTAAGTTAAAGGTTATTCGGTTTTTAGAATTAAAATTTGGTAAGTGCGAGACAAACATGGCATGAAAATCAATGGTATAACAATTTACTAATTTGTTGTATTATAATCTCAGTATAAATTTACCTTTCAATAGACGGAACCGGTTTCGACACAACAGCAGTCGCAAGTGTAATGACAGCGAAAGTAATAAGGGTTAAACGAAGAATTTTGATCATCGTTGAACATTATCAGGACGCTTGTGTTGTGGTTTTAAGAGTAATAGAATCTGATATGGTTAAAAAAAGTCAATAAATTGTATGGTGTTGGGTACTTGTGTTGTTGACTAAGATTTGAGCTCAGCCCGAAAAAAATTGTTCTAATGCTCACCAAAAAATATTTTTACAGAGCCTACATAACAATTTTCAGTGTCATACAAATTATAAATCGTTAACGCTTTTGACTTTAAGGAAAACATTTATTAGTAAATAATCGCAAATTTGTTAACTTTGATTACCACTGCATGCATATTGTTTCTCTTTTGTTAATTAGGCAAGTTTATTTACAGCGCACTAGCACAAAAAATTATGCGTATAAACAAACATGATACTCCGTTATTATACTATAAACTAGGATAATTTTGTTGTGCCCGGTCGACTGCGTCGACCGGGCATAGTGCAATATAAGCAGATGAATGTTTGAAACAATTTTTAATAGTTTTATTTTCTATAGTATTAATAATGTGTATGATTTATTAAGTTTGGCTAGAATAATATAATATGTGTGATGACTGTTTAAGTAGTAGTTGGAGTAACTTGTCTAAGTGACCGTTTTGCTAATAGTTGAAGGTCTCAGTATTCTTTAACTACACTTTTGTTAGTAATGAATGCATCTTTATGTAGGGTACTTATATTGAGATTTTCCCATGACAATCAGCAGCTTATTGTGACATATGTTGAGTATGTTATTGCCTAGTATCAAGGTTACGTTCGGTAGTGTGAGCCCCTGTGTTTTGTGTACAGTAAGTGCAAATGAATTTTGTGGGGGAAATTGAGTACGTGACGCTTTCTGCCTGCTGTATAAATAAGGTGATAGACTATTCCACTGTGTATACGAAATGCTACTTTGATTGAAAGAGTGTCTCAGCCAAAGTCGGTAATAATTCCATCGCATATACCTTTTTCGATCAGTGAGTTGTTTAAGTACATGACTTTTGCGTCTTGTTGTATGGTGTGGCACACTCGTTTTGAGTTTGAAATCTGATTTTATTAAATTAGTTAGTTGTTATACAGTATATCATCGATATAGTCTACGGCTTCGGAAACCGTTATTACGATCAAACCAATCAGTTTTTATAATGTAAGTTAAGCTACTATTATTAGATCTTTATGCTTGTTATGCTAATCTAGGTAGGCGTACATTTTTATGCTTATTTGGTAGTTTTAATCTTTTCGGTTGAGCCAATCAATTTTTCACGATGCAAGGTAACTACTATTATTAAGTGTTTTTAGTGTCATAATATGTTCTGATATGTATATTAATATATTGTAATTGGTGTAAGAATTGGCCTTAAAGAATAATGTAAAGTTTAGATAAAAATGTTGCGACACGACATTAGGTAAGTTGACAGTATTTTTACTGTTTTCAAAGTAATAATTTTATTCCATATGCAGTTGCGGTTATATATCTGACGAGGATGAAGAAAAATGTCTGCATGTAATAAATGTATCATAGACCTTGATTACTAATATTTTTATATGCACTGCGGTTTTGGTCATACAGGTTAAATTTCAAAATTCGTATGTCTGACATTTTTTAATTCAAAGTTTTTTTATTGGTTTTTTGCATCATTAAAGTCCGTTTATACTGTAATTGAATTAAGCTGCAAATAAATCTAACTGATCGGCCGACATGAAGATGCATCACGTTACCATCAAGTATAATATCGACTTTCGACTTGTACGAAAAATTAGTTTTCAGTGTTCGACAATTGATTGGATGAAACATATGATTCTCTTTGCATAATTTATTGCTGTATGTAAATATTTTGTAACACGTGTCACACAACTAACTAATTCTATTGGATGAAAGCGAAAAGTGCTATATAGATAATATGAACTTTCGAACATACTAACTTTTTAAAATTATACATTTCAGAGAAAAAATGCTTTACAATCATTCGTGGACAACTCAAATAATGTCGATCAGCAATGTATTGCACGCATCATGCCATTTCCTTCAGCATTCACACATACTATAAGAATCTGACCCTTGTTACCGATAGTGACCTGAGGTTGTCCATCGCATTTTTGACCAATATAGTAAGGATCCTCGAACGTATTACCGTCATCCTTTGAGAAACTATGACAGATGTCATTCCCCTCGAACTCTCGGAATAGAATGTGCAATCTATCGCCGTGAACAAACGGACAGGGCCCGGCACTGAGTTTTATTTCCAGATGGAATGGATCGGCTGGGAACCAGCTGTCGCCGTTATCAGTTGAGGTAATATGCATCAAACGATTTCCCCCTCATCCTGGAAAAAGATGTGAAACTTGTCTTTATGCCAGACGATGCCTGGTGGTACATTGCTATTCGTATTATATTCTATGTACTTATTACTCCATCCCTTTGCAGGGATCCAGACGGCCTGCATAATGCCGGTGTAATCGTGACCGACAGCGACCACAATAGTAACCCCTTGTTCGTTGATTGCAACCGAAGGCTGCCCATCGATATTCACGCCGAGATAGAAAGGGTGGCCACCATGAAAGTTATAGCCACCATCATCTGAGACAAAGTATAGAAGACCATTCCCATCCCCATCTCGCAATACTATATGTACTTTCTCATCGTGTACCCATGCGGCAGGTCCACCGCTAAGTCTAATATCTGGGTGATAAGGTGTAGCTGTTTCCCAGTAAATTCCATCGTTGGAAACGATATGCATGAGCCCGTCTCCTTCAAAATCTACGAAATACATGTGGAACTTGTCTTTACTGAAGATGACGGAGGGTGGCGTATATCGTCTCGTGTTGTATTGAGTGTAACCAATATCAAAATTCATCGCTCCCGAAGTTTTTTTCGCCTTTACATAAATAAAAGCGCAATCTCCCAGCGCTTCCGGTCCATTGCCTTTTTTATAATCATCTGACAACATGCGATCTGCAACAGTAGCAATTGCTGAAACCAAGCTAGAGTCAGAAGAATCCAGGTCTGTTCCGTCTACATCAGTTGCTTTTACATATGTGTTGTATTGCTCATCTCCAAGTCTACCTTGAAATTTGGCCCAACGTTGATTAAGAATAGGTTCCCCTGTTTTATCCAAGCCCAACAGAATAAGCCCCCCCTGTATACTCAAATGGACGCCATTCGACGTTGCCAGGTTTCCCTTCGTATGAGATGACATCGATGATATCAAATCCAGTCTTGATCACTTCATTTTCTTGAAGAGTAATCCAATCGCCGTTGCCTTGATGAGGGTAGCATGCATGACTGTTTAGTGCGACCCTAACGATCGGGTGGTTGTCTATTGATTCATAGGAGCCAAACGGGTAATAGGAAGTATCTCCGTGATGCGTAAAACCAACGGACAACACTTTGGTGAAATCTTTAGTGACCCTTACTGTACACCTCTCCAAGTCGCCCTGATGACTGCCATAGTCATTCACGATGCAGTTGAAATTGTTGAACGCAGAGACGAAGCGCACTGTCTGACCACCCTGATAAGCATAGAGCATGTTGTAGGTGATAACAATAAAATTATCCCATTCTTGCGCACATACATACATCGGGGCGATTACTTTGTTGTTCTTTATTGGCTGACCCTTACGAATATTGAAACTATTGTTAATCTTAAGATAGTAGTTCTTCTGGTAATACTTGGCGAGGTCATTCTGTGTAGGGTTTTCTACGATAAAAGTTGGACTGTTTTTATCGTGCAAGGTGGAGTTGGTGAGAATCCACTCTATTGAGCAAGGAAAAAATTTCTCCCAAGGTGAGAAGGTGACAATTGGAGCAAACTTGGCAGCTTGTTCGACAGTAATAACAAATGAGCCTTCTGATTCCATGAGATTTGCGATAAACTTTAGACGTAATGATAAATTGTTGGGAGAAATCACTGTATTTATATTAAATGACACGAGTCAAAAGACCGCGTTCAAACTATAAAGAAGAGGTTGTGTCACTATACTTACTCCTGTAACTAGACACACCGAAAAATTGTTGTCTTCATTAACGTTCCTTATTAATACAAATCAATTCAGCATCTCGCGTCTTTGTTATTTTTCAACTTGTTCTATCGTAACGATATCGATATATGGGGCGCTCTCACCAGTTTATCAAGCCAATTGAATTTGGAAATTAGTTTATGGTTGGATAGTGCTCAACAGCTATGTTACGAAAACGGGAATAATAAAAAAGACACTCTCACCAATCACGTAATAGTTTATTTACTGTCCTCTATCACAAACCATCACATATATTAGTATGTCCTTAAAAGGTTATTTTGACCAAATTTGGTATCGAGACGGGAGGTAAGACGATCCATCAAGCCATCACATTAGATGGCTAGATGTATATTACTCTTTTTTTGCTATATACACTCACCGGCAAAAAGTATTGACTCAAATCTTGGTGTAACACAACACCGCATAAAACCGTAAACTTCGATGGGCTACGCTGCGACAACTTACTAATAAATTTTTAATAAAATTTATCATTCAAATCAGAATATCTTAAACTTTATCAGTTTTATTAATAGGGTGTTGGGTTGCCTTTGCTTGCAATTACAGCTTTAATTCTACGCGGCATACTTTCTACCAAATTTTCTAAATAATTTGGGTCGAGTTTCAACCACTCCTCCTTAACGGCAGCAGCTAGTTCACTAAAGGTTTTTGGTGGAGTCGTTCGTCCACGAATCCCTCTCTAATCTGTCCCAAACATGCTCGATTGGATTGAGATCCGGACTCTGTGCGGGCCACGAAAATGATGTTATCCTATTTTCGTCTTTCCATTTTTTGCGGTATGAATTGGGGCATTATCTTCTTGAAAAATATAAGCATTTGGCTCCAGTTGACTCAAAAAAGGTAATAAATTTTTTTGCAGAATTTTTATATAGCCATCTGAGTTAAGTTTACTTTCTACTAAAACCAACGGTCCAGGTTGATTATTGACAAAACACCCCCACACCATTATACCCCCACCTCCGTGCTTATAAGTTGGAACCAAGCAATCAACATCATATGCTTCTCTTGGCTGGTGCCAGACCCTTACATGAGCATCATTTTGATACAAGGTAAAACGGGATTCATCACTCCAGATGACAGTTTTCCATTCGTTATCCCATGTTCTTCGTTCTTTACACCACTGAAGGCATTTTTTATGATTCTGCTCAGGAATAAAGGGTTTTCTTTTCCCAACACGACTATGGAACCCAGCTTCATACAGATAGCTTTGAATAGTTCTTTGACTAACAGAAATGTTTAACTGTTTGTCCATTTGTTGAACAAGTTTGTCAGCAGTTATTTGCCTATTTTTTCGAACTTCTTGAGCTAAGTACTAAATATTCCTATCAGACATTGATCTCAGTCTTCCACTTCTAGGTTGAACTGTTACCTGTTGCTTATCACGAAATGCACTTATAGCATGAGTAACTTGCGATTGTGTAAGTCCAAGGGCATCAGCAATCTCACAGGTCTTTTTACCACATTCCCATTGCCCAATTATTCTCCCTCATTCAAAATCTGAAAGTTCTTTATTGAGCGGCATATTTTTTTAAGATGTAAAAAGTTAAGAAGGTCTACTTTTAGTGAGAAAAAATTCAGTTGGTTTTGACAAGGTAGATGATTTGAAAACGCAGTTTGAAGATTATCAAGTTTTACAATTTTTCGTGTAACATACATTTTGAGTCAATACTTTTTGCCAGTGAGTGTATCTTGAGTATGAGGGATTTATTCAACAAAGGGTCTTCTTTTGCAATGTGCAATTTCACCAAACACTTTCATTTCTTCACTTAGCATCCATTCTCTGCTTATATTTTGAAAACATGCCATATGTGCAGTTATCCTTTCTTTGTGACTGGTTCAACAGGCACAGGCAAAGCTTACATAATTACAAATTACACCCAACAACAAAAAATGGAATATCTTCTTATGGCACCTATTACTATGTGGTAGCTCAAAATAATGGTGGTAGAACAATCTATTCTTATTCTGTACTTCATATCTGCACACATTAATATTAAGAAGACATTCAATATCTACTCAAGATTACTGCTATCATCATTGATGAAGTATCAATGGTGTCAGCTAAATTGCTCCAGTATAAGTATATTAGTACTATTTTTTCACAAATCAGGTCAAGTTCTATTCCATTTGGTGGAGTACCTGTTCTTCTTCTAGGTGACTTAGTATTAGCCCCACACCAGTATTTAAAGCTGCAATTGAGAGAATCTTTTCCTTTATTTCTTACTACTCCACATTGCCAAGGTCAAGAGATTCAGTATGTTACCCCATTCAGCTAAATTAAAATGGGGCTTCCCATATTACTATATAAACTAGTTGATATGTCAGAGAAACAGAATGCAAAACTACAGAGATGAGCTGATTCCATTCAGTAAAAGGAGAGAAATGGAGAGAAGCTGAAAGTCAAGGGTTGGTTAAGGTAACTATAACATGGAATGAAGGTATAGTTTTATGCAATACATGCTACATATACATGAATTGATAGAGAATCCCTTAATAGGAGGTAAATGAGTAAAAGTCACAGATGTGAAAGAGGTAAGCACAAAAAATGAGCTCACTAAAACTATTGAGGTAATGAGTAGACATCTATGAATATGAAAGAGATAGAAGGTCTGATATATGACTTTGAAGAACTATGAAACATGCTGCAAACAAAGGAACCCAGTTTAAAAGTGTTCTTTGATCAACTTTATTTGGTGGCTCATCCATCAGCACATAATGAGCAAACAATGGATTGGATGAAGCAATTGATAGTTTTTATATGTTATCTCCTTGCTTCATTAAATTAACAGCTTTAAGTTTGACCTGGCATACTATTTAGACTCAGCAGGCACAAGTAATAGTAATAAAGGCATAAACACTATTGGTAAGCAATTGGATAACTGTTCCTACAAAAATGTGTAACTCACACAGCGACCTCCCCATTTTGTCCGCATGGATCGAAATGTGATTGGTTGATCAATGATTTTGATAAAATTTCCGTAAAAAGTAATAAATTAGGGCAATAACAACTGACCCGATATGTCAGCATAACAACACAGACAATCTTCGTATCTGTTCTTAAATAATTTTTTTTAGCCGTTAACTTTGACTATTTACTATATGAATCGTATATCGATAATTTACTCTCAACTTGGAAGTCCGAATTAAATGGGCTGCTAATACTCGTCGAGATTACGTCAAATATGGGTAATTGAGTGGATAATCTTGTATATTAATGTTAACACTTTACGATAATAGGTATGTCCGATACTGCATCAAATTCACATAAGAGTTAATATATGTATATATTGATTTTATTATTAAAGTATGCAAAATATTATACATTTGAGTATCGTGCATCGCAACGCTGACTTTAGGTTAAGTAAACGTTAATCTAGCAAAAACATTGTGTGTGGTCTTGAATCCTTCCATGTACGTTCTCTTACACGTTTTTTACCTTTCTTTTTTATGTCTACCATCATATTGCGGGCTCTTTTTGAAGCATCCATTAACATCCTTACGTGTCGCAAATTGCCAGCATCGAACTCTTCACACATATGCTGTAAGTATTCTTCTAGCTCAGACATTCCTTTCTCAAATTTTTCGTTGGTAATAGGTGGTGTTTGTTCATCTAACTCTACTTCGTTTCTTTCTACCCTCCCACCAACAATCATTATGGAGCTTGAACTACTATCAGGAATTAGTGATTCGGCATTTTCCAGGGGTTTCCATACCAAGAAGGGATACTGGTAACTACGTCTAAAGTCTTCATATATTAGACGATTTGATGTTCCACCCACAGCTTTAACCAAATGTTTGCATATCAGAAATCGATTTTGAAGATACAAGAGACAACTACAGATTCATTTGTCAGAATCGACATAATACCGATCCAGCATGTGCTCATCGACGCTTTTTAAGACACATTGTTTCCATTCCTTTTTGAAATCCTCCCACCAATGCGGACGTATTCTTCCATTGGATAATTGATAGAATCGATTACATTGTGCAGGAAGTAGCTTTTCACACAGTATGTACACAACATAGTCTAGTGGCAGACGATGGAATCTATATAGGTAATCGTGCTTGAGGACCTTCCAATGTGATTCAATGATCATGTTGGTTTTTACCAAAAGGTATTCTTGGATGACAACTTCTTGCCCACAACTCCCAGCGATTTTTAGTATACCATGAAAAATAGACATAATGCCATAGCCGGGGGTTATTATCATTTTTACAAGTCATACATTTCACTAACTGATCTTTTCCAAATTTCATCAGCATTTAAAAATGTTCCATTCTTATCGACGGGAATGAGCGGATGCAAATGAAAATGCTTTTGAATAATATCCAAGACTTCCTTTTGGGCTGAGATAGCACAGATTGTTCCTGTCATTTCTATGTCGGGAAGAAAGGTTGGATCGATAAATGGAAAATGTACGAAATCAGTTGTTGTGTAAGAGCTATATTTTTTTTGCTTTTTACTTGATCTGATTTTCGTGAGTATAGCTTTCTTAATGTGCCATAAACAGAGTTGAATATGGCGCTCTCCAGACAACTTTAGCAGCATTAATTTTGGCAAAGTCCTTGTCAGTAAAAATGAATTCTGGATATAACCCAAGGTTTTGAATGTGATTAAAAAATTCAGTCAAAATTGTTGTTTTTGTTAATTCAATGTCTTGATGCGCATCTAAGATAAGATAGCCAAGGGCAAACCCCTATCAATGGCGTATAAGCGTTATTCGAATAGCAAATTCTGACATCATCATTACGCAAATAATGAAGTTATACCATCCCCAATATTATTATATGCAAGTTGCATGCTTTATTATTATTACATTATTAGAATAATGGTGTCTGTTCTGTGCCTGACTAGCAAGGAATACAAAGTTTCAGTCTCAACTGTATGATATAATAATTATATAACCCTTAATAAAATCCACAGCAAATATACAATATGAGTTATAGCAGAGTAAGAGATAAGTCAAGTGTATATGGTGAAATTATATTGTTAACCATATTAATATTAAAATGTCAGAAGCATGGTTATGGTTTGCAAAATATTATCCACCAACATATATATGCAAGTGTTTATTAAAATTAGGATATGAAATAAACAATAGAGATTACTGGGAAATTTGTATTTCATATCAAAATAATTTAACCAGCCATAAACAAATAGGTAATGACCCTGAATATAAAAATTTTAAAGTTCAACTAGCATTATATAAAGAAAATCATGATTGTTAATTATCCAGAAGACATATCATTTATGGAAAAAACAAATTAATTCTGTTCAATCCAGAGGCTAATGAATGCAAGATTCACTCTTAGTCTCCTGAAGTGACAATCATGAAGAAGGAGCTTAACAATAATAAACGTAGAAGCAGGTTTACTATCCCTTAAATATAAACTGTGTGTGTTCTCACCAGTTACCTCCCCTACCAGATTAGAAATAATCAACATACTAAATTTAGAAATAGAGGTAGGGGAGGTACCATACTAGGAAGTAAAAATCTTTGTGTTTCAAGTTTAGCCATCTTGAGCTTAATGCATATGATGTTTCACATGAAAGTGCCTGCTAACTATAACATACTCATGCTCTTACTCATACCATGGAAAAAAATAAACTGCTGTCCTCTTTCGCCTCTGCTTTTCCTTTCTCCCTCTACATTCGCTTCCCTTAAACATGAAGTGGCATCAACCATTCGAATTCATAATGCATGATCCATCTAATAGTAGAGTCACACAATCCAATTCTTCAAACAGACATGGCGCAACTTCCCAAAACGGATCTTCTAAATTCGGAAATGAATAATTTTGGCTCCCAGATTATAAATGATATTAATGGTGTGAGCAATTTACTACTATTATTTTAGCTTATGTATGTATTGATATTAATATATAGCTGATGGAGATAATGCAAATGACATTGATGGTATGTGCAATTTACTACTATTATTCTAAGTGATGTCAGCATTGGTATTAATATAGACTTATTATAGTCGACAGTACAATTGATGATGGTGGAAACCATAATGACATTCTACCAGAATTTAAATGATCAAAAAACTGGCAGTGATAATGAAGTCTTATTATAAAAGCCTTAATACAGCAAAGTCACCTGTGCAGCAGGGAAAGGTTTGGCAATCCATATGTGATGAATTTAATGCTATTTGTCTGGATATTAATATGTGTAGAAGTATTCACAAGAGGTAATGATTTGAGTTGGCTACTAAATACAGTAAGTATACCCACTGTGCTAACAAAAATCAATTAATAGGTGGGATAAACTATTAGAGGATTATAAGAGAGTACAGGATAATAACCGTAAGACAGGGTGGAGAGTGTATGGAATTTGAGTATGAAGAAGAAATTCATGACATAGTAATCAATGATCCAGTATTTAATGAAGTGTATGATTCTGAGAATAGGAGAGATATGGTTGAGAGGCGAGTGTGACAAAGAGAGACAAGAAATGATGGCATTGAATTAATTAGAGAGTTACATGAAGAGAATCATGAAGAGAATCAGGTCTATCATAACAGGTTATTAACATTATTGGAAACGCTTGCTTCAGCGTTTAATAAAGAGAGGTAGTTGCTGGGTTTATATATAATTAATTAAATAATTGTCATGATCTCATTTCTTTTGTTCTCTGTGTGATGAAGCATACGTGCATCAGTGAGCACATCAGCATTTTTGTCATCTTTGTTGCTCATTATGTGCAGATCTGTGATGATTTCCCAAAAATATTATGTAGAATACATGATAATATCTACTACATTTTTAAGATCTGTAACCTCCATATTATTTCTCAATATACGCCATCTCCCTTTGAGCAGATGAATGTACTCTATTATATTGTCTTTGGAATGATGTTGAGACAGCATTGACATCAGGAACTACTGCAGTTAAATAAATACAAGATACTGCATTTGAAATGACCATCATACTGTGCTACTTTATCTCAGTACCACAGCAATCATATGATCAAATCAGTGTTTACAAATGCTCACTCACAAATGTGACAAGTCACTTGTGTAGTTCAAGATGAAGGATGCCAAGTAGTAGGTGACAACTATGTTGAATGGAAGGAAGTGAAGAAATTCAGCAAGAAATGATGAGAAGACCTAATCACCAGCAGTGGCCATACCACTACAAAGGACCAAATGCACAATGTTGGTGTGGACAGTGACTTGACAACCATAATAATAAGGACAATTGTTAAAGACTATTGTATCTGGATGATACAAACCTGTTGAGCCATTTGCAGCATTACCAGATGAGGAGCTTAAGAAGTTAGAAGCAGAGGAAAAGATCAAGCTCAAGCAGTGCCATGTCGCTTTAAAAAATATTAATATTGTGGTATGTAGGATCTGCTCTATTACCTTATTATTATTACAATATCACAGGAAATAATGAATGGGACTGGGATGATGATATCAAATGATAGCAAATTTGAGCACTATATATGCAAACAGAAGGAGGAAAAAACATTGTTTTTCATATAGGAAATTACAGATATCAATCTGAAATTGACACTTCA